GATCTAGCGAGCGGCTGAGCCAGGGGGCAGGTGAGCTAGCAGGCGGGTGAGCTAGCGAGCAGCTGAGCCAGCGGGCGGGTGAGCCAGCAGGCGGGTAAGCCAGCGGGCGGGTGAGCAAGCAGGCAGGTAAGCCAGCAGGCGGGTAAGCCAAGCGGGCAGGTGAGCTAGCGGGCGGGTGAGCTAGCGGGCGGGTGAGCTAGCGAGCGTACCTCCTGCATGGTGGCCACCACATGGCCCCAGATGTTGCCGAGCCGGCCCTCCCAGTCCGTCTGGGGCACGCCGATCTCGCGGAACAGCTCCAGCAGCTGCTTGTGGTAGGCGTCCAGGCGGGTCAGCGCCACCGTCCTCTGCCGGGCCAGCGACTCCGGCAGCGGCGACCCCATCGCGGTCTGGCCACCAGGAGGGGTGTTACGGCCGGCTCAGGGACGTGTGGCAGTGGACAAATGACAGGCTGTCAGCAGGGTATCATGCATGGCACTCAGCTTCATTTCATCCCCTTGCTGCCTAGTACCATGTAGCTGCCCTGGAGCACAAAACCATTTGTGCTTTGGGGAGAGGTGTTTTTTGGTAGTCTTTTTGGTCGAGATGCAACTGCAAATGGACAACTTATTATGCATCATTTATTCACTTATGCTTATTGTGCTTGAGTCTTGTGTCCAAAACTGTTTGTGGTTTGATGTGGGACTGTGGGGGGAGATCCTTTTTGACAGTCTGTTTCTAGTCAAGCTGCAACTGCAAATGGACAACAAAATGTGCAACATTTACAAAAGGATGTATGCATACAGTCTACAGACCATGTTTTTAGTAGAACCACTGGTACTAAATCCCAGCTGGAGGTAGTTTAAATTAGCATTCCTTCTGATACTTTTGATCACCATAATTTGCTCTTCCTGGCCACAGGTCTGGGCCACAAACTCACTGCACCATTTTCATCAGCCAACACGCTCTTATCTAGCACTGGAACAGCACCTCAGGGAAGGGTGATGATGGATAGCGTCACAAGCTGTTGCAAGGAGAGTATCTTGGGGGCCATGTGCACACTTTTAGTAGAGAGCAGTGTTAAAGGCTGTCTGCTTGTGATGAGCTTTAAGGGAGTGAGCAAGGAGGTGGCAGGACTTTGGCAGGACTTCAACAGGCAACAGCCTTGTGAACGATACCATCAAGAGACTCGTTGAAAGCAGTACCAGGGTGCACAACAGGATGTTGGCAGGACAGAGCTGGGCCACATCATCATGAGCAAATGGCATCACATAGTTAAGACCTCTTAAATGCAGCATTGACCATCAGTGTGGGCCATCAGTTTGGAAGAGACTTTGAAAAATACCATGATTATCTAGAGCAGAAAACTTCGCAATCAACCTTTCTACACCTTCACCAAAAACATCAATAGATGTGTACAAATCGGAGTAGCGGCTCTTCACAGACAGAATGCTTTACTATATGTATTCCCACTTTACTAGCAGAGATGTGGCTACCTTGGCAGATGCCAGGTTGCCTGCATACACAGCTAATTGTCATGGACCTGAACATCTGGATTTTAAGAAGCTATCTTAGAATAAGGAAACTATGAACCAAGTGGCAATGATATCAGCTGGTCCACATATCCACATCTTACTGAGTTCCTAAACACTGATAAACATTTTGAAAAATATGATATCAAAGTGATTCTCAATTAAGCTAAAACAAATACATCACAAGCCACATCATGTGTCACAGCTTGTCGCATTTACTGCAATCATGTAATTGTTTTGACACCAAGAATTCTGAAATGTGTACCATAAGCTGAAGCAGCTCTTACAAATCAAACTTAGCAAACCGCTGTTTCGCCTCGAGCCATGTGGCACCACCTCATTTAAATTGTGAATAAAGCTTAATTATACTGGCTGCAAGACCTAGCTTAGTCAGGTGGTATGGGACAGTAATAACAGGTTTAAGCCAGTTGCAAAAGTATGCAACGGTAGCAGAATATGACGGATGCCTCGCCCACGCAAGCCTCCGTCACAGCCTAGAACAATCACATCCAGGTAACTGTCACACGGCAACCCTTAGGTACTACAACAAGCAATGATGCGATAAAGCTACATAGAACAGCTCAACTGAACTGGCGGATAATTACTTAATGCTTTCAGAATGCTATGAAGATACTTTCCGGCAGACGGCCCCTAGAATCCTTCTCACTGGTTTACAGCCAATCACGTTCAAATTTTAAACGACCGGTGTGGCCACGAATAGAGATGGAAAGGAGCACTTCTAAAAAAGTTTTATTTCAGCTTTACGAGAAGCTATGAGTGTTATTCGGAAATCTTTGGGTTCAAAATTTTTTTAAAAATATTGCGCCTAGTCTCAAAACATAAATTACTCGATCAATTTTGTTCAATCAATTATAAGTACCAAGTACCATACTGAGTACTGTTTGGCCGCAAGAGGCTGCATGCGTATTTATTCCGATAGATGTAAAAACGCCACGTCTAGCAAAAGCTACGTGGGGCATTCCACGTCAAATCGAAGGGCTGGTTTTACAGCCCCAGCTCTCAGATTTTGATGAAAATGGGTGACAGAAGTATCAGCGTGCTCGTGCTGACGACGCCTGTCACTTTTTCAGGACTTTTAGTTGAGCGGTTTCGGAGTTAAAGCGTTCGGCATTTTTGCATTGAATGGTTGAAGGGCTTTGTTCGGCGGCGATTTTGCTCACTACAATAAAAGTAAACCGTGCGAACCCATACGTCTCAGTGATTTTTTTTTTTAACCCTCCAGACTACGTCTGTGTCGTGGTTGGAATCGTGATTGAACAACGAATATCGATTGTGGTATTATGAGCATTTGTAATGCATTTTCCATCTTCCTGCGTGATTTTGAACCTTTCCTCATTGGCATGCGAAAGAGCACAATTTGAACTCCGCCATTCACAGCTTAACTTGATGGTTATCGGCTGGGGAAGGTTTGAAAACATGGCCCATTCGCGCTATCGCCGTCGGCTGCCGGCGCAGGATCTCCCGCGCGTCTCCCGCACAGGCGACGGAAAATGAGCGCATTGTGAGACAACACTAAGCGTGGCAACGCAATGACTCGTATGCAAGTGGAAGTTGACTCAGTGCGCCAGTGACTCAGCCTAACTCACTCTAACTCATCAAAGCTCTTAAAAAGCAAGCGACCGCTTCTTCCCTTCCAACGCCTGACTCACGGGCAATGGCGGTCTGGACACCCGTTGGCGTTGCTCCATGAATTGCAAGTGTTCCTTGGACAGTTTTGGTTATAGTTAATCTGATGCTGAGGTCGTCCTCTGCCCGAAGGATATCTGCTTATGGTACGAAGAAATATATCGCCCACATACTATCCTTGCCCTGCAATGGCTGGCATGGCTTCAGTCAGCATGCGCCCGGGTGGCCGGTTGGATACCCTTCGCTCGGGTGGGGGTCAGTTTGACCCCCGCCGAGGTCTCAGGAACTAAGAGAGCTAGAGACACAAAATTCACAGGGTGTGTTGGCCTGTACATGAGCTCAGTTAGGTCAAAGTTTGAGGTTTTTAGGTTATGACCTTCGGGCCACATAAGGTCGAACAAGGTCGACTTCTAGGTTGGTCTACAAAGGTCCCCTAGAACCTAGATAACTGTTCTAAGCAAAAGGTCACATGCTCATTTTAGGTCAGCGACCTTGTTCTTAAAAACAAAATGTTGACCTGGGTCATTTTAAGTAAGCGGCCTATTATGAGCTTAAAGAAGTCCATGGAAAGTGTAGAATACGGTCACTGTTATCAAGAAATTCGAAATGAACACCAGAAACTCCCCCATACAGCAGGCCCTAGAGTAATAAAACATGTTTGTTTTGACCTTTGTCTGACCTTGATGCCTGACCCTAGGTCAATGTAATTTATTCATTCAATTGTTGTGTTGCCTAAGAAAGTATCCCAGAGATGCATGGCTTCGTCTAACACTCCGTTGTTTGATCAGATTGAACAATTCCACAGAAATTGCATTCGCTGAAAACATGGTCTGACTTTGACCTGCCATAGGTCAGCGACCTCACAAGGTAGATCATTGCTTCACCACTTATGATCATCGAGGCAATGCCTTGTCATAAATCGACTGCCTGGAAGCGACTGCAAATGGTGGCGAAAAGATTGGCTCAACGAAAATGTATGGGCTTTTACGAAACGGATCTCCTGTCCGACATAGTTCGATGGCAGTGAACTATGCAGTAAGCATTCGTCGCCCAGCCGGAATTTCTCATCTGCTCACAGTACTCCATCGCTACCCGCGAAGAGCCCTTACCTATGTGATGCGCAGGCCTGTCTCCATCGTTTCCGGTGAGGGATAATTGAGTCAATCATCTGTGACGCACGTAGCCCATCTTGGCAAAACTTCGATAGAACTTGCGTGAAATTGCCAGGCGCTCCAAGCTATTCGCAATATAAGACTTTTGCAAGATGGCGGAATTAACGTCACAGCATGGACTTGACCGCGACACTTCCTGCTTCATGGCATAATATCCGGACAAATATTCCTTGACCCGCTATTTTCTCACAGACTGTTCATTGAAACGCAAAGAGGGCATCAGCGCAGCACCAGGCAGGCACCAGCCCAGCACCAGGCAGGCACCAGCACGTGATTTAACACCACATACTAACGATCGATTTGTATGTTAGGTATTCTGATTACTGCGAAACTGTGCAAGCACACAATGAGTGCACAACATATAACCGATCAGAAAGAAGGTGTGAATGCGTAATCTCGACATCCCTACAGAACTTTCTATTCCTCAAGGTACATTAAGTAGAGTGCAAGGTCATAAGACATGGAGAAGTGCCGGGATCTCAGAGTATCGCCGGAGGGGCGGTGATTCCTCCGCTGGGTTGAAATTTTGCAGAGGTGTGGGCGCCAGGCGCCCGGACGTCGGCGCGCCAGGCCGATAGGGTCCCCCAGACACTGTTGGGCCCACGGCTGTGACTGTCACTGCACTGTTATTCTGCACTCCGATCAATGACTGACCACGACGGTACCCTCACTCTGCGTTGCGCTGTTTTTGCCTCCGACGGGGTCGGTGTTTTTAAGGGCCGCCCCCTATTGATCGTCCTGGCACACATATCTGGAACTAGCTCCCGGGCCGAGCGTGACAAACAAAAACCGCACTCGCACATTGGAAAAGCAGCATGTGGCCCGCAGCGGATAGATATGCCGTGCGCCACATGCACATTCAATTCAAAGGAGCTTAAAGCAGCTTCAGTACGTCAGTTTCCGCAGCTTATCCAGTATCCCGTGTTATGACTGTCAACGTGCTATCTTGTTCTGTCGGGCCGTGGCCTCTGGAGATCACAGTGCTATATCGGGAGAAGCCGTTGGATGTCCTTGTTATCGGTTTTGTTACCGTGTAAGCTCCACCAAAAAAAGCTTAGATGGGTTTCAACATGTTATATTACTTTGCTTATGCACAATTCTAAAAATCTTGCAGGGAATCAAATGGGTAGTACAGATCGGTGTTAAAGTCAATAGAAAGTCACGTGTTTCCCCAGAAACTGATTATTTCCGGACTTTTATGAGTTAATCTCTTGAACTAGGCATCATTTGATGTTGCAATTGGCACGTTTCGACTTGGCATTGTGTGTCACCTCTGAAAAGATGTTATTTTCATTTCCTTGGCCATTATCATGACGCGATCTGATATGGTAAGAAAACTGATTCTGCCACCTTACTTTTTCACCTCAAAACTTTGAGGCAATTAGTGTGTAAATTCGACTTAAGAGGTTTAGACCAGTTTCGACAGGAAAGTTTACCGTACTCATCATCCATCATCACGTGTTATATTTCTTCACGACAAGCATCAACCTGGTATTCGGGGACCTCTGAACATCGCAGCCTTTATGCTCTGGGAAAGGTCTACAGTTGTCCTCATGTGGTATATTGCACACGTGTTGCGATTGTTAAGAAAATTGAACGGGTCGTGACTTTCCGGGTCGTACGGTCACGTGTTAAGGTCGACGGGGAATAATGTATTGCTCGGGAACTGATTATTTTCACACATTTATGAGCTAGTCTTTTGAGATAAGCGTCACTTGATATTGCAGTTGATACCATTCGACTCGGCATTACCTAGCCGCTATGCAAAGGAGTCATTCATACTTGCTTGAGCGGGGCTATCACGTGACCTGCCATGGCCTGAACGCTGGTTCTGTCAACTTATTTCTTGCCCATAAAAACCTCGATGCAACTCGGGTGCGCATTCGATAAAAAAATGTTTCGATCTGTTTTATCGTGTCAGTTCACGGTACCTAGTCAGCATCCCGTGCTATATTTGCTCACGTGTTATGTTCTGTTTGTATGCAGTGACCTCTAAGGGTTACGATTTTTGGTGCCCAATGAAAAGCCGAGTGATGCCCTCGTTATGCAAGATGTTCCTCATTTGAAGCAACTTTATAGAACATCGAACGACCCCATGTTTTCCAGCTAGTTTTGGCTCAATTCGGCGTCTGAATTCCGTGGTAAAAGTATATGACACGAAAAACTAGGTTAAACAGAATTAGCGGCATTGTTTGTGCTGTTGGGCTACTGCGTCACCTGATATTGCAAACCAGATCATATATAGCGTCTTGCTTTTGGACATTTAGCGGTTGACTTTGTATGACCCGTGGAGATAAAACCGCTCCATGCTCCACAAAAGGCATGTACGTCAGGCGTTAGCGCATGTTGAGCTATCTGTGGTACAAGCTGTGCTAAAATCGAAGAGGCCGTTAATTTCTGCTTAATGTGATATCGAACTGCTGCTTGTTTCACAGGCATATTGCGTGATCAGATTTGAGAGGCAACTCATTTTGTTTTTAAATCATTGCGTCATAACATGACGTCATTCACGGGTTGAGTGACCAATCACAGTGGAATCTGTTCAACTAAGCTGTTCTACGTTTTTGTGTCAGAGCAATTCGTGCATTATTGTACCCTTGGCTGGTGGGCTGGTTGCGCGGTTTGGAAATGTTTTGGGATTGTGTGGTTGTGATCCGTTTTTGCTGCGGGATGGGTGACGGATGGTTCTGAACACTTTCATGCTGTGGTTAGGATTGGCAGAGTAATTATATGCGTATTGCTGTTTCACCCGCATTTTCTTCGTTGGCTGCGCATTGTAGTCGAGGGGGAGAACTCGAACCAATGCCTCATAATTGTTTCTCCATGAGTTGGTGGCTTGTATGTTTACTTGCGCAGCCAGCCATGTGAGTCATATGGATAGCAGTGTACTTATTTCACACCCTTCCTCCCTGCATTTGACCTTTTGTTCTTTGCATGACTGGCACAAACTATAAACATTCAGCATAACATTACAGCACTCAATATATACATCCTGCATCTTGACATGTCTTCATCTGACACTGATAGTTTTGATTTGGTATTTTTTCTTGTAAACAGCACCTATGTAGGCTACAGTGCATGGGTATGCCAAGGCACCTGCTGTCAGGGGTACTGGAATTGGGTAAGAGGAGCTGAGGCTGAGAGTGAGCCCCCACCCTCCTCCCCTCTTCTCTCCAAAAATGTAGCATTGGCCCCATGGGAATCAACTAGAAATAAATGACAAAAATAGCCATTGGCTGCCAAACTTATTATTTCCATTGTCCTAGGGGCCATGAAAGTAGGCCATGTTGCAATGGTTATCTTGGATGAGCTATTCTCATCAAAAGTCATCATGTGTATGTTATTAAAATGATAAGCATGGTTAAAGAGGTGAAGAGTCTGCCCATTGAGTAGTTAGCATTACCCAATAAATATGCATTTAAAAAACTGGACAAACACTGGGCACATTGAATTAATCAGGCCAGGGGGCATACTGACTGAATAGTTAGTGTCTGACTCCCATGTGGGCGGCCCAGGTTCAAATCCTGGTTGTGTCATTGCCCCTGAGTACCAATATGGATATAAACATTTTTGCCCCTCATTAAAACAGTCATGACTGCTCCCTTAAAAAAGATCAATGGGGCCTGGCTTAAAGACAATGCAGGCCTTGATGGTCATAGTTTGAGTGGGTACCCAAAGAACCACCTGTGGATCAGGTCCAGGGGCGGCAAGTAATGGGGATCATTCAGGTCACTAAAATCCATCCTTCTTTAATGGTATTTGTCTCCTTCCATTCCATTTTACTTATTTGAGGTAATTTTAAGATCAAAAGTGAGCTAAAATTATTCCTGTGCTGGAGAGTCAACAAACTTTTATTCAATTGAAAATTCAAGTTTAATCAGAATGTGTCTTGAGCAAGATGAGTAAAGCATACAAAAGACACAATGTAGCTTATTCTTACAGCCTGCTAAATTGATCCTGAACATCTCCAAAAAGACAGAATGTTTTGGCCTTGGCATGAGTCATGAGATGGCAGTATACAATGGTGGTGCCAGAAAGACACCAGCATTGGCTTGTGCTGTTCTGTCTGGGTGCTGCAGTTTAAAAAATAATCATGCTCCTTGTGCTTTTAGTCCCAGGCTGTGTAGTTTGTTTCAGGTTTCATTAGTTGGCTTAAAGTGGAAGTTTAAGAATGTCTGAAACAAATCTGATTCTGCCTCTCCTGCCATGTCAGGTCATGTAGCATTGTTAGTTTCTGTCACATCATTTTCTTTGAGCCTGAAGTTCTATATTATTTGTTAAATTCCTTGTGTGGCAGGCTTTAACCTGCTAGTATTGGACTTAATTGCTGGTTTGACTAGAAGTCCATTCTAGCACTACATAGACATACAACAGAAGGAGTATTGACATGGCTGACATCACTTTTGGCTGCCTCATTCTGTTGTTGAACTGTAAGCCTGCTCAGAAAGTTTCCATTCAGAATCTCTGATCATTGCCCCATGCAGCCTTGACAAGATCTGGTGTTCCATGACAGCATCATGCTCAGCTTTCTGTAGGCAAACTTTATCTCCTTTTATTGGTTTGAAACAAAGAAGCAGTGCTGCCTTGCCAGACTTTGAGATGTAAGTTTCTTCTGTTAAAGCCTGAAGGGTATTTGAAGCTCTGATGATGAGTTGCAGAAATGTGCATTATCCTGGCACATTTTTTAAAGAAAAAAGTTTCCAATGTTTTAAGACATGTAAAGTTCTGATTTTAAGCTGCATGCTCAAAGTGTGGCCTGGCCATAGTCAGTCCACGAGAAACCTGCAAACTGCTGCTGAGTACTCCTGAGTCTGTCTGCATTCATTCAGTTGCCATTTTGTACCAGTTGTGTGAAATCAAAGTTGGGGTTCAAATTCCTAGTGTCATGAACTCATACTTGTCATGGTGCAAAGTGGGCTGTCATTGGTCACTGGGCCCAGACCCCTGTAACATGGAACTGAATTAGCTCCCTGTTAATATGTGACAGCCCCCTGTTGGAGCAACAGTCTGCAACATTTTGTTGATGGTTAAAGGAAATAAAAAAAGACTTGATCCCAGTGTGGACCTGAGGTCACTGTTGGCCTTCACCCATCTGGAATACACTCATTAGGCATTTATTTGTTTAACTGCTCAATTTTTCAGCCACACAATTAAAGTCTAATCCAAGTAAGTCTCCTGAAATCTGCACTGCACAGCAGTTATTTGCATATTGCAATCTGCAACAGATTGTTTTTGTGTCAGGAAATGCCATCACATGTTAAGGAACAGCATGAATGTGCAAAAAATGTGACAGTTCGGGCCAAGTTTTGATTCTAAATTGATTATGCAGTATTTGTGGGCGTGTGACCAATTACATGCAGCAGTTCAAGTCTTAGCACAACACAAGCATTTTCATTTTTTATCTTGCTTGATAAGAGGCAAAAGCAAAGTTCAGGCCTACATGAAGCTGTTTGGAGATGTCATACTTCTATCAAGCAGTGCATTTCATTAGAATCAGCATCAGCATTTTTTCAGCAGCGGCAGCAGCATCAGCATTTTATTAGAAAATCCTATTTTTGAAATCCCAGTTTTGTTCTTACCTTGAGAAAGTGATTTTTGAAAGCCTGTTGTGGTCTTTATATTAAAGACCCAGTCAGATGAGAGCAAATCAATGCTAAATGAAATGGGCGCAATCATATTACAGTTATTATGTAAGAAAGAGGTGACCAAAGCTATAGACAGCACTTGATAACTCAAAACCTAACCCTACTGTGAGTGTGCCACCAGCCATCCTTTCAGTGTGAGTGACCCAGTGAACAGCTTCCGACAGCATATGTAGCTCATGTCATGCCTCAGCATCTGCAGCTCATGCCATGCCTCAGCATCTGCAGCTCATGTCATGCCTCAGCATATGCAGCTCATGTCATGCCTCAGCATCTGCAGCTCACGTCATGCCTCAGCATCTGCACTTGGCCTTTTTCAGAGGACGCTGATAGCTGAGACGACTTCTGGTCCGCCGAGGCAAGCGAAGAGTGACCCCCTTCAGCCTCGAGACACAGGTGAGTGAGCGCACGAGACCGCTGCGGGTCGCGCCGCCCACCCGTCCCGCCGCCTACTGGCTGCTCTGACTGGGCTGTCGCCAAGCTGTTGAATCAGCCAAATAGGCACGGGCCCACCGTTTCGCCGAAGATGGCGCAAAATGGCCAGCGTTGTCGACGCTCCTCTAGACCGTGAATGGTGTGAAAAGGAGATCAAAGTGAGCATAAAAAGGTTTTTAAAAAAGTTTCACCGTTGTGGCACGTGCGCTCGCCACCAGGCGCCTTCTACGGAGCCAACGCTGTAGGTCTGTTGGCCGACCGGCGAGGTGTATGAATGTATGAAAAGGATATCAAAGTGAGCATCAAACGATTTTTAAAAAAGTTTCGCCGGTGTGGCACGTGCGACCGTCACCAGGCACCTTCCACGGAGACAACGCTGTAGGTTTGTGGGCCGACCGGCAAGGTGTATGAATGTATGAAAAGGATATCAAAGTGAGCATAAAAAGGTTTAAAAATGTTTCACCGGTGCGGCACGTGCGCTCGTCGCCAGGCACCTTCCACGGAGACAACGCTGTAGGTTTGTGGGCCGACCGACGCGGCACTTGCGCTCGTCACCGGGCACCTTCTACGGAGACAACGCTGTAGGTTCGTGGGCCGGCCGGCGAGGTGTCAAAACCGGACGGGCTCGATTCGTGACCCGCGCTAGGCGCCGTCCCATAGACGGCACGGTTGCATGGCGGGGGGCTGGTGCCCGCTTCCACTGCATACAACGTGGGCAAACCTGTTGTGGTGACGGCGTACTGGCGGAAATGCAGTCACGCACTGCAAAGTCACGCCCGTGTTTGCTGTGTACCCGTTGTCGGTGTTTGGAAGCCGAGGTGGCGCATATGTGGCTGGAGTCATGACCGTTAGGAATCTCTTGAGTCGCCGAGTTTTAAGGGTGCGTCAACTGCACTGCTTATTTGCCGTTAGGAATCTCTGTGAGCAATGCACGCCATACTTATCGGGAATCATTGCCCGAAGCAAGGATGAGTCATTCGGTTTTGTCCAGTCATTGCATGAAGTCGGGCTGGGCAAAACCTGGGTTTTTTCGTTTGCTCCTCCCCATAAGAGCGGTTTGTGCCGAAGCCCGTGTTTGAGGCTTTCCGTGGGTGTTTTTTTGTTTGCTAAGTCATTGGCGAAGGCTGTTTCGGATGGCCAAGACATGGCCGTCATGAGAGAAGGTTGCACACTTAATTGACGGTTGGACAGTTGAACGAGTGGAGTCGTTGATGCAGGTACAGTTCGTATCGGGTTTGAGCAACCGTGTGTGCCAAGATGTGTTCCTTATATATATATATATATATATATATATATATATATATATATATATATATATATATATATATATGCGTTTGTTAAAAATCACAGGGGACTCAACACTGATGATCTTTTTGGATGTTTGGTGACAGTTTTCGCTTCTTCTCTATGTTCGTTTTAGATGGCACCAAGGCTCATGATACAACAGAAATATAGATTTTCATCTTGCATGGCCTGCTACAAGATATTTTTCTCAGTATTTCATCTTCCGCTGCACATTTTCTAGAGTGACGGTTTTAGACAGAGTCAATGCAATCGCATCTTTGTAAGTATCGGATTCTCTCGTGACTGTGGTCTCGCAAGTGCTCCGACAAATGACAAGTCCTCTTGTCTTGTGGCATGGATCTCATGTTTACGTACATCAGTTTTTGTAATGCTGGTATAGTGCAGACATGCTACGTACATATCACAATGTAGGTATAAGCACGTACGCATCGCATAATCATCAATGACTGCCAACAACGTTTATCCGCGACACGCAAAACACTCAAGGTTTTTGTGCTTTCCGCCCTGATGGTAGCCCTCCATGCAGATGAAGGGATCCACGCGAATTTGTTTGCTTGTTAACGACAGAGTTTCATTCGCGGATGTGTATCGCTTCTAGAGCGATGAGCGTTCGTCACTGTGTAGAGCGTGCGATGACTTTTGTGTTACTGTTGAACATTTTGGCGTATCTGGTGGGTTTTGTGTTGGGTCTTGGATCTGGTGGGTTTCGTGTTGGGCGTGGGCACACACAGACATATGTGTGCCTGTATGTTACTCGTACTGTCTCTTGTCTGTACTTCTTCTGGGTTGAGCGACATCTCCCCTGCCGGTTTCTTTCACGTGTGAATGGTCCCGGTTTTTCCCTATCGCCTTTTGCCGTAATGGCGTTTTTTGACCTTCCGGGTAGCGAGCAGCGTAGAACCCTCATCCCTCCGTTGTTTAGCCATGGACATCGGACCGATCCCTCACGCCATGAACAAGGTCCTGAGATCTCCAACGCCCAGCTTGCACATAGGCAATAAGCAACAGCACCATGTCTGCCTGACTGACTGACTGACGGACTGAATGATTAGATTTAGGGGAATGTCCAGTATGATTTTGAAGTCACGAATTTCCACCTGAAGTTTGCTATTATTAGTGAGTGGCATTTGGCTCCTTTGCCCGTCCTAGCGATCTGCAGATAGTGACTGTAAGCAACGATGCCATTCGTTTGGGTTAACTATGCATGTCGCAGCTATTGGTGACTGTTGGCTCGTTAGCCTACTGTACTGTTTCGCACATAATTACTGTTGAGGTAATATCCTGTCATAAACTGGCCAGTTGGGAACTGTTGCGAACGGTGGCGAAAACATTAGCTCCCTGACAGTAGTATTTGGGCGATTTATTATTTATGAAAAATATGTTTTTTGCCAATATGTTCGGCAGCAAACGCCACCGCTTCGATTCCGCCACTAGCATCCACGCATTCGTACCGTCTTATGCGTGCTTGTTTCCCATTCGTGTGAAGGGAAGGTCTATAGTGAGGTTGCTGTACAAAAGCTTGTGCTTTCGTGCTAGTCAGACGCCCTCGAACCGTACATCCATGCTACACGCGAACCTCGGAATTTGCCCCCAGTTAAAGTAGCCACCTAATCTAAGGTTTATTGTGGCGTAATCACGCAGCCCCAAGTCTCCACTTGCGCTGGATTGTCCCGGAATTCTTCGCCGACGTAAAATACGTAGCTGTCGGAATCCCTGACCGGCGACTGTGCGAACCTCACCTTCTGGAGTTCCTGGGATGATTCTGACAACGGTATCCTCGGTGAACGAATTTACTGTCAGTGCCGAGGATCAATTATTCATAGCCATTGTGGGGAACCCCCTTCTTTTGACCGCAACCTAATCCACCAGCGGAAGAATCAGTCAACTCGAATTGCGCGACTTTTGCGAGGCGTGGCGCTGTTATCACCGACAGCCCAACGCTCTTCCCACCTCTCCCTTCGGGGAGTCGCAGGAAGGCAGCTGAGAAGAGAGTTTCGCGTTCTGCGAGTGGCAAATCCGTCGGCGGTGCTCCTACACGTGCCACTGCTATTCTCACTAGCAGCCAGCGGCGTGTAAAAATGCGTCCCACCTTTTCCATGAGTCGCGGAGGCATCGACCAACAGCTGACTCCCAGACCTGTATAAGAGGTGGGAACTTCAACCCACGGCTGTAAGAATTGCCCGCGTACCGCGTGAGTTTTTTATAATCGCTACCCGCGGCGAGTCATCATCTACCTTTGGCGTAGGTCTTTCTCCGTCGCAATCGGAGAGGAGTCTAGCGGGAATCAAGCACTTGTGACGCGTTTATTTAGCGGGAGTCAAGCATCTGTGACGCGTTTATTTAGCGGAATTTAAGAATTTGTGACGCGTTTATCTAGCGGGAGTCAAGCATTTGTGACGCGTTTATCGAGCGGAAGTCAAGCATTTGTGGCGCAGTTATCGCGTCCTGCTGCCCGTTTATCCCGTCACGAGTCTAAGCATTCGCTGAGACTCGTGGAAGACGTTGACGCTTGCCCCCAATGCACTTCGCAAATTAGATGCAAATATTTAGAAGCATGGAAATGACCGCATGTTCTGCCTCACAGGCTAAAAAAAAAAACGGCGACCGATAAAAGCATTATTGACCTGCCTCCGCACCAGCACTCGGATCGGGAGTGGTCATTGACGGCAGTCAGCAGCGCGGCTGAAAAATCCATTGGCAATGTCATGAATCGTTGACGAGGAGGGGCGCAGCAGTGTGTGCGGTGATTGGCTGACGTTCTCGTGATCAATGATGCCGGGCAGTAAAGTGAGGGAACAGTGAATGATCAGGGGTTCTGCCGTCTTCCCAGAGGCTGCTCAGGAGAGTACGTAAAGCGACGGCAGGTAGAGGCTAGATCGCAATTAAGCACAAGACATTGCAAAATATTTATATTTTAGGCTTACGTTTATATATAGGCTTATCAGAATATTCAGATGCTTGTACGAACGGAGCTCAAAGCGCTTAGAGGGTCAGAAATTATGCGCGCGTACGTAGCCACAAAGTCCTGCGAAACGTTCTTTTCTTTAAATTACATGAAAAAGAGCTGAGAATCTACGCAAACCGCCGAAGAGTCGGCGATTTCGCTGCCATGCTTTCATGGTTGACGGCGGCGGGGCGCTAAGGCACTGTTGTACCACTAATGTCGTGTATATATATATATATATATATATATATATATGAAAATATGTATAGATATGTGTATATATATGTATATATATATGAAAATATATATAGATATGTGTATATATATGTATATATATATATATATATATATATATATATATATATATATGTGTGTGTATGTATGTATGTGTGTGCGTGTGCGTGTGCACGTGGTTCGAACCCCGGTTGCTCCATGGGCCCTGGGTACTAATACGACCTCAGCGGTAGCTGGTGCGACATAACGGGATACTTGGCAATGTCCGCCTTGTTCCCTTTTGAAAAAGAAGGGTGCCTACCAATACCAGAGTCAACGCGCACTCGTTTTCCGCTCTGTTGCCCGTCTTTACCACTCCCGTCGTCCTCGTGGCTGGCCGGCGTTCTCAGTTTGCCGTCCCCCGGACGTAGTCACACTCGTCACGAAGCAGCCTCCCGTCCCCCCCCCCCCCCGTCTCACCCCCGGTGGAGGGCCATTC